ATTCAGAGAGAGGGCCATGTGAACACACACACACCTGTAAACCAAGGAGAGAGGCCTCAGGGTAGGCCTCCTCAAAAGAGAAACCAACCCTGCCAACACCTTGATCTTGGACGTACAGCCTCTCCAGCCCTGGAAGAAAATTCATCTCTGTTATTTAAACCTCTCAGTCTGGGGTATTTTGTTATGGCCGCCTACCAAACTATTAATAATATATTCTCCTACGCAAGAACCAATAACCCTATCTTGGTTCAATACTCTCTCCTCTCTAGAACATTTGGCTCCATGGAGTCTTCAACTTGAGTAACAGCCTTAGTTCTGAAAAGATGACGTTTTTTTCTTTGATGTTGTTTTCTGACTCTTCTTTGGGGAGGTGTAATGATTTTCAGCCAGACTTGTGTTCAGTCAAGGATGAATGGTTGTCTTCTTTAGGGCAGATCCGTAAAACATTGAAGAAAGTCCCTCAGCCCCACATATTCATCAGGTCACCTCCCTCATAATGGACCTATGCATAGATCATCCTGAGGTCACTGAAAGGACCATCCAGTCCCCCAGTGCCCTTTATAAGTACATCGTTCATGTTACTCTAAGAAATTTCTAAAACATGTCAAATTGAGATATTAATCAACTGCAAGGGCATGTTACGATCTCTGCTGAGAGCTCATTTTCCTCTTTTACAAATTTTTTCACATTATGTTCAACACGATGTTCTAACTCCCTGAATTAAATTATACTGTACAGTGAACACCAGATGACGTTATAACCCAAGTAATACATATCTCAATCTATCTTAATATCTCATGATTCAAACTCCTCCTATCCATTTTCATTGTTAGAGCTTTAATTTCTGTCTTATTTCTAATCCCTCCTTTCCAATCTCACCAAAAGGATTGTTTTCAAAATTCAAGCCATATTCATATTCCTTTTCTTCTATAAAAACATCCTTCTGTAGTACCTATTATGTAAGCTATAAAGGTCCTACAATGGCATAGATTATCTCATGTGACCTAATATTCCAAGTTTATCACCTGCTACTCCCTCTTTCACATCTAATGATCATATCACATTATCTACATATCTTTTCCTGAATGCAGAATGACATTTTATAACTCCAAGTTTAAATCCATGTTATTCTCCTTGCCTGTAAGGTGTTTATTTCATATAATCATTTGGCTCCCCTTAGTAACCTTCCAATTTTAACTCTGGCATCAACTCTTCCAGGAAGTCCTTTGTAACCCATTCTCAGGCCACAGCAAAGGTCACTCACTCACTCTCACGCCTCACAAATAATTCTATCCTTATGACAAATTTCCCTAATTAAACTGAGAAATGCTAAGGGAAAGGTTTATACTTTTATTATCTTCTGATCACCAGCACCTAACATAGTGATTGAAAATTGGTGGGTATTGATTCAAGATCAGAATAGAGCAAAAGAAAGATGGTGTTTGTTTGCTTGATTGCTTCCGTGTTTGGGATGAGAGGGAATGGGAGTATTAAAAACGTTGATTTTGCAATACCTGGGTCATCTAAGTAAGAGGAGCCCTTCTAATAGTTTCTGTGTCCAAGTGCTGGTGAGGATGCAGAGAAGTAGGAACGCTATTCACTGTTGGTGAGAATGGAATGGTGCAGCCATTATGGAAAACATTATGGAGATTTCTCAAAAAATTAGGAAAATAGAACTAACTACTATATGATCCAGCTATCCCACTTCTGGGTATATATTTAAAAGAACTCAAGTAAGATCTCAAAGAGATATCTTTGCATTCATGTTTAATAGAGCATTATTTACAACAGCCAAAAGGAGGAAGCAACCCAAATGCCCATCAACAATTGAAAGGATAAAGGAAATGTTGTATATACATATAATGAAATATTGGGCATCATTAAAAGAGATGAAAATCCTATCACATGCTACAATATGAACCAACCACAAGTACATTATGCTATGTGAAAAAAACAAGTCACAAAAGAGGAAATATTGTATGATAGCCACTCATATGAAGTAGTCAAAATCATAGACACAGATAATAGAAAGGTGGTTGCTAAGGGGTGGGGGGAATTAGCATAGAGTGGGATTAGAGTTTCAGTTTTGCACGATGAAAAGTTTTAGAGATCTGTTGCACAAGAATGTGAATATACATAACACAACTGAACTGTACACTTAAAAGTGGTTAAGATGGTAAATTTAACCAATTTTGCCACAATTGAAAGTTCAAAAGACTATTTCATTGCCTCCATTTAGAGACAAGAAAAATTAGAGGCTGAATGTGAGAATATGTCCAAGGTGAAACAGCAGGGCAGTCAAATGAAAGACTGAATATTCTCCTGCTAAGATCAGGAGCAAGGCAAGAATGTCCACTATTACCACTCCTGTATAACATTTTATTGGGTGTCTTAGTGCAATAAGGCAAGAGAAATAAATAGAAGGCATTACAACTGGACAGAAATAAAAATAAGGAAACTGTATTCACAAACTGATAGTATATGTAAACAACTATAAAAAATCCCATGGAATCCCCAAAATAACTAATAAAATTAATAAGAATTTAGCAAGCTATTATTAGAATGTGCCAGATCACACAAACCAATTGCATTTCTATTCTGTTCCATTGGTAGATAGGTCCGTTTTTATGCCAATACCATGCTCTTTTAATTGCTACAGTTTTGCAGTGCTTTTTTTGGTTTGTTTATTGTTTTTTTGTTATTTATAATTCAGGAAGTAAGATGCTTCCAGTTTCGTTCTTTCTCAAGATTGCTTTGGCTATTTTGGGTCTTTTGTGGTTCCATACAAATTTTAGGATTGCTTTTCTATTTCTGCGAAAAATGCCATTGGAATTTTAATAGGGATTACATTGACTCTGTAGACTGCTTTGGGTAATATGGATATTTTAACAATATTAATTCTTTAAATCCATGAGCATGGAATATCTATTTATTTGTGTTTTCTTCAATTTATTTCATCAGTGTCTTGTGGTTTTTAGTGTATATATCTTTCTCCTCAGTTAAATTTATTCCTAAGTATTTTATTACTTTTAATGCTTTTATAAATGGAATTGTTTTAATAATCTCTTTCTGATAGTTCGCTGTTAGTGTATAGAAACGCAACTGATTTTTTATATTTATTTTTGTATTCTGTAACTACTGAACTTATTAACCCTAACAGGTTTTTTTTGTGGAGTCTTTAGGATTCTCTACATATAAGAAAGTGTTATCTATAAACACAGGCAATTTTACTTCTTCCTTCCCAATTTTGATGCCTTTTATTTCTTCTTCTTATCTAATTGCTCTGGCTCAATGACACAGTATTATATTGAATAGAAGTGACAGGAGTTGGCACTCTTGTCTTGTTCCTGACCTTAGAAAGAAAGCTTTCAGCTTTTCACTGCTGAGTACGAAGTTAGCCATGGGCTTGTATATATGGCCTTTATTATAGTAAGGTACATTCCTTATAATTTATTGAGAGTTTTTATCATAAAAGGGTGTTGAATTTTGTCAAAACTTTTTCTGCATCTATGGAGATGATCAACAGGTGCTGGCCTAGGCACTGGGGCCAGCCTGATGCTGGGGCAGGCCTGGAAGCCGATAGAGGTTCACTGCAGTGACAACACCAGCTGTCGCAATGGCTACTGGTGTGGACTAATGATATGCTGTACTCAGCCATGGCAGAATAATCTAAAGAAGGGGGAAAAAAAAATTACCGTATTTCTCCATGTATAAGATGCTCCCATGTATAAGACGCACCTTAATATTGTGGCCTGAAATTTGGAAAAAAAATGTATTACATAAAGTTATTGAACTCGTTTTATTCATCATAAAATTTATACAACTCCTCATCACTATCAAATGCAAGTAAAAAATCTACAGCCACTGTATAACATGTACCCAGTTTTTAGACCCAAATTTTTCAAAAATGGGTGCACCTTATACATGGGGAAATACGGTAATAGGCTTACTGAGGAGTTTCAACTCACAGGAGTATAAAATGAAATTGTTTTCTCCTCTCAGTCGCTCATTTCAGCCCTCTTTCAGAGCCTGAAAAACATTTCAAGCAAGCTAAAAAAAATTCTAGTTACTTTCAGCCCTAAAATACCCATCCTTCAGCCCTTTTCTAGGCTATCTCCTCTGCTTAGTCTACAGCCTAGAGAGCAAAAGCTCAGCAAGCCTCTATTCATCAATCCAGACATCAGTTCTTTGCAGGCACCCCAAACCTCAAGAGGTTCTTTTCTAGCACCCCCTTACTTGGCTTGAATTGGACCGGTCTTCACATTCTTTCACAGGACAGTAAGGAAATACCTCTCACCATTCCTTGAGCACTCATCATGATGTAAAACTCTCCTTTGATTCTATCTTCCCCTTTCTTGATGTTTTCTTTATGTAGATATGTGGAGAGAAGATGCAAGGAGGAGGGGCTGAACTTAATAATTGGTAACCTAAAAAAAATAAGGGGTGCTAGCTAGTGTCTTTCACTTTCAATTTGCAGTCTTCAATTCCTAAATTCTGAGCCAACAGGAAAAGTCAAACTCAGCATCTTCTACACAGAAAATTACTATGGACTTGGTATTATGTCAAGTGCTTTGTGCAATTTACTGAATCTTTATAATAATGCTGGGAGCACTGTTTAATTACTCCTTTTTTATAAATAAGGAAACTAAAATAAAAAAGGGTACATATGTTTCCCAATATTAACTTAAGTAGGTTGTGATAGAGCAGAATTTATACTCCTGCCTCTCTCTTTCCAAAGCTTTTGTATGATGTTTTTCACTATGCTGCCACATAGTACACCAGAAACACGCATTTCCGGCATCACCAGGGTAAGATTATGAAGGAATTCATGGTCTTTGAGAGATATTTATCAGAACCTATTAGAATCTGAGTTTATAGCAGACTGCTGTTCTCAGTTACTGTAGCTAAGCTCAGCTACTGAAGACAAAGAACAATTGTCTCTCTAGATAATTTTGCTTTCTGCAAGGAAGGTCCTCAATGGTTGCCCAATGATGCCATTTCTATTCTTTATTCACTAAAGACCCACAATTCCATTGGTTCTGTTGGTTTAAAGCTTTCCGACTCAGCAAATATTTCACAGCAGCTTTTACATCCTTATTTCTCAAGCTGTAGATTAAAGGATGTAGCATGGGGTCACTACCCCATAAAACAGGGAAAAAAGCCCCTCCATACCTGCAAATTGCCTTTCCCAAGGAGGTCCTGAGACTCAGGTTTGGCATACATAAAGAAGATGGTACCATAAAATGTGATCACCACAGTCAAATACGCTGAGCAGCTGGAAAAGGCCTTGCATCTATCTGTGGCTGAGTTCATTCTCAACATGGTGTAGAGGATGAACATGTAGGAGAAAAAAATGACCAGCAATGGAAGAACCAAGAATGTCATATTTGATATCACCATGGTGATAATATTGAGAGATATATCAGCACAAGCTAGCTTAAGGATGGCTAATATTTCACATGTGAAGTGATTGATAACATTATTACCACAGAAAGGCAATTGCATGGCAAGAGATGTTTGCACAATTGAGTTGATCCCACCGGAGAGCCATGACACACAAGCCATCAGTACATACACCGCCTTGCTCATGATGATGGGGTATCTCAGAGGGTTACAGATGGCCACATAGCGATCAAAAGCCATCATGCCAAGGAGCAAACACTCTGTAGACCCCAATGCAAACCCAAAGAACATCTGCACTGCACACCCAGAGAAGGAAATGTTCCTTTTCTTTGAGATTAAGCTCACCAATGTTGAGGGAACAGAGGAGGATGTATAGCAGATATCCAGGAAAGAGAGGTGGCTCAGGAAGAAGTACATGGGAGTGTGAAGATGGAACTCAAAGGTGCTTGCTACGATCAGAACACCATTGCCAATCAGAATCACTAGATACATAACTAGAATTAGAGCAAAATAAATGATGTCAACTTTTGGGTAACCAGAGTCCCAGAAGAATGAATTCTTTCACAAATGTCTTGTTTATTCTATCCATGTTCCAGCTTTCAGCATATCAAAGGAAGACCCAACATAACATATTTCACTGTCAATCAACAAATGTAATGAAGTCTTAAATAAGCATAGGATGAAATAGAGTGTTTTGGTTTTTTTGTTTGTTTGTTTAACTTCTGTCATCTGTTATCTTCAATGTTTGTGCCTAAAATACAATGATACTGGGATGTTGAGACTGTTTCTATGCCTGGTGTTTAATGTGTTAAGATCTACCTAGGATCAGAAGCAAATTAAGAAGCAACCTTTGCTACTATTGATGACACTCTAAGTTGAGTTTCCTAAAAGACCTTAGAATATTTCAGACCACAACCTGATTTCTTCATTTAGTCAGGTCCAGTGAGAGAAGGGTGGGGAAGGCAAAGGACAACTTAACAAGGACTGAAATTTTGATTCAGTGTTTAATAGAAATGTTCAAAATTTAAAGTGAATTTAATTTTTATGCATATTTGTCTACTTGACATCCTGTATCTCTTTTTAGTCATTTAAATTGTGTGTTTTTATAGGGCAGACATTTGATCATAGTTAATTGGACCATGTACAACTGCAATTTAACATCTGCTCAAAGATAAAGTTAGTTGTTAATCTCATAGTTATAGCCCACTCTTACTAATTTGTTAGCTCCTATTACAAGACCAGTGTGTAAACCAGCTATGCACATATATGATGGAGAACCTTTGAGGAACAATTGTCTCTCTTCATTTGTTTTATTTTGTGACTTCAGAGTTAGTCTTTGTAATTTATTTAACTGAACCTGAGGAAACTGTAATAATGCTTAAATATATTTGTGTATATGTGTATGTAGCACTTTATACTTTACAAAAAAATTATTATTCGCATTATTCCTATTTTTTAATTATCCCTTTTTTTGTTCTCAAGTGTGAAAGACAGAGTGTGGCAAAGTTATTCAACCTATAAGTAAAAGGTAGAGCTTGAACTCAGATCTTTGCCAATGAACTCTAGAGCTCCTTGGACTACAACACCAAAAGTTATACCCACCAACCACTAATCACAATTTTTGGCCTTCGTGGAGTAATGAAGAATCAATTATTGTAGACTTTCGAAATTTTCATACGTATATAATTTAACTGGGGATCTTGTTAAAATGCAGATTGTCTTTCAGTAGGACTGGGGCAGGACCTGTGATCCTGCATTTCTTTCTTTCTTTCTTTCTTTCTTTTTTTCAATTAAAGTTTATTCGGGTGACAGTTGTTAGTAAAGTTACATAGGTTTCAGGTGTACAATTCTGTAATACATCATCTATATATCACATTGTGTGTTCACCACCCAGAGTCAGTTCTCCTTCCATCACCATATATTTGATTAAGACACGGAAACAACCAAAATGTCCTTCAATAAATGATTGGATAAACAAGATGTGGTATATATACACAATGGAATACTATTCTGCCAAAAGAAAAGATGAAATAGTGCCTTTTGCGACAACACGCATGGATCTTGAGATTAACATGCTAAGCAAAATAAGTCAGACAGAAAAAGTCAAGAACCATATGATTTCACTGATATGTGGGGTATAAAACTGAAAACAACAAAGGAACAAGACAAACAAAGAAACAAAATCTCACAGACACAGACAATAGCGTAGTGGTTGCCAGAGGGTAAAGGGGAGGAGGGTGGTAGATGAGGGTAAAGGGGTCAACTATGTGGTCATCCTGCACTTCTAATATGATCCCAGGGTATGTTGAAGCAGCTGGTGTGGGGAAGATTTTTAGGAGCAAGGCTTTAGTTTACCTATAGGGAGTTGGCAGACTTTCCAGGTGTTTCTGATCCAAACAGATTTTCTTTTGTTTTATTATATGAACTAGCTTAACATCTTAAAAAATGACCAAGAGCATACTTGGTTTGTTTTTTCCAGCAAACTTCAGGGCCACATCTCACTATTCACTACAATTCAGAAAACAATACTATTAAAAGACAAATTTTATAAAAGCAGGATAAATGTTTGCTGGACTACTATAATATGTGTAGGGTATGACTGATAGCCTAACTTGAGCCCATTCCTGCTCCAAGCTAAGTAAGGATAGGAAAAGTATAACACAGCGGGTCTGTCATCAAAAAGCTCACAATTCAGTGAGGGAAATTGTAAAACTAACAGGGAACATCTTGATAAAGAATATAATTACAACGTGTGACCAGAGTGAATATTGTAAGCATTCCCAGAAGGAGGAGGTTAATGAGAAATAATCAAGTCAAGAGAGAATTCTGGAAGCATCTCAAATGTAGGCTGGATCTGTAATCATGGAACAGATGCGGCAGGTTTGGAAGAGAAGAGGGAAAGAAGGGTATCCCAGAAGGAAAACAGGTTGAGCAAAGTTTAGGAGTAAGCATGATGGCAGTACCTCTTTCTCAGAAAAGTGGGTTTCTGTGGAGAAGTGATGCAAAGCATAATTGAAAACGTAAATGAAGCAAGTAAATATGAAGGCCCAAAAGTCAGGCAGACAAATTGACACTTTTTTTGAGGGGAAGGGGCCCATGATTAGAAGCACCAAGCCCAAGGTGAGTGTTTAGACCCTGTGATTTTAGCTACCCTTCAAAATTGACATCAGATACTTTGATTTTATGAGGTTTTTGAACAGATGTGTGACACAAGGGATTAAAACATTTAGATCAATTGGATTATCATTAATTACTGACTGGTACTCCAAAAAAAAATTATATTTTCATAATTGCCACCAGTTTTCAGGTTAACCAAAATTGCAAGTTTAGGGTTCATGTAGGCTAATGGTTTTGAAAATGTCAGCATAAGCTCAGTACCTCACTCTAACGCTCAGTCCGTTGTGTGATGATAGGTGGAACGATTTCTCTACCAGAAATGCCTTGGAGTCAGAAGCCAAACACAGCAGAGGGATTCTCACCTCAGAAGCAATTCAGTTAAAGGATACAAAGTAGAAATTTTCAACTTAAATGAGAGATGCAAATGAGAGAATATCGAATCTCAAAGTTGGATGTGAGAAAATTGAGCCTCACAGCAATTTTTAACGGATATTTATTCAGCTAAAGCCAGAAGTACCTAAAAAAAGCTTTTAATTTATTTAAATTTAAAAAGAACTCCCATGTGTTCCAACAACTTCTCTTGCAGGATTTTATGTGCTCGATACTGTGCTTTAAATTATTCACTTGATTTTACCAGAGGGTAAGGGAGGAGGGGGGATGGTAGAAAAGGGAAAAGGAGATCAAATATTGGGTTGTTGGAAAAGTCATGATGTATTTTTTCTGTTTGTCATTGCAAAAATGTGTCATGACTTTTCCAACAACCCAATATGTGGTGATGAAAGAAGAACTGACTCTGGGTGGAGAACGCACAATGTGATATATAGGTGATGTTTTATAGAAATGTACACTTTAAGCCTACGTAATTTTACTAACCATTGTCACCCCAATAAATTTAATTTAAAAAACTATTACTTGGTTGAGGTCACATGGCCAATAATAGGCAGAAACAAAACCCAAAGCCCATTCTCTTTCCAGTACTTCTGTGCTCAATATGTAGCATTAAAATCTGCATAGAAAACATGTATCAGCAACAGAAAATGGTCAGTGAGACCACAGATATATTGAAGTCATAAAGGCAAAACTTGACTGTACTTAGTTAACAATGCACAAGGAGAATGGTTATGTCTTGAGGACTTAGTACTTCTTATCACAAAGGAAGGTTCAGGGCTGTGGGATTGAATGATAGGTCCCAGAACACTCCATTTTCGGTGAATTGGTTTTACACTCACTCTACACTATTTCTCAGGATAAATCAAAGCTCTCCCCAAGTTGGATACAGAGACTGGTCAAGGGATGTCTTAGATAAGGGACATGAACACTCTGATGAGCCCAGGCATGAATGCAAAAGAAGACAGCAAACATTGACATATGAGGAAACGTGGTGATGTTGCAGATCCAGCCCCTTTGGGGTCCAGGCCTGGAGAGCTTGTTGGCTTTTACTTCCAGAAAAATGTAATGACCATACAGCGTAGGCCACTTAAACCACTTCTCCTGCCACCTGCTCCAAGCCTTCCCCTCCTAGGCAGAAATTCCCTCACCAATTCAAGCTCACCTTGAGCCAATCCTATCTTGCTGTCTCTGTTCTTCTCCTGGAAATTTGCACTGGTAATGTTGTCTGTTGTAAGAGAGCAAGAGACATGAAGAAAGAAGCTTCTCTGTCTTGCTCATCCCTCTACATCTAGGGCCTAATCAAGTAGCTGCACATCTTAAGTTTTGACCAAATAGGTGAAGGTTTATTTTCTAGGCTCTTAAGCAATTTCTCTGTGCAGTATTTGTGGATTCATAGTCAAGAAAATTTAATATGGCCAAATTGTTCATTTGTAGCAGACTCTGAGTTTTTTAAAAAAATATCTTTCAGTCCATACTAACAAGATGCCATCTTATGTAGAAATTTACCAATTTATGCAAAGCAAGTACAGAAGGATCACCTGGTGCTCATTTGAACAAATATAGCATGGGGTTAGTCTAGGGAAAAATGTTGGGACTTAGAAGCAAAAGTTTTAGTTTTAAGCTTCTTTTCTTCTAATATATACTCTCAGTTTTCTCATCTGTGAAATAGTGATAAAAATACCTGCTTTTCTTTATCCCAGGTTTGTTTTGAGAAAAATTCAGTAGCATATGGAAACTGCTTTATGAATTAACAGGCATTATACAGGTAATAACAATGATAATAAGTCATAGCTATTTGGTAATAACAAATTAGTAGTTGTATGGCCTCATGCTGTTCACACTTTACATTCATATTTAATAATAGCTTGAATTATGGAATGAAAACATACAGTTTCACAGTATTCAAGACTTAACTTTCTCCTGGTATATTATTTCCACCTCCTAGAAAAACCAGTTACTTTCTTCTTAGTTTCTTAGTATTAATGTCAGTATTTTGAATTAAAGTCAGGCTCAACAAACAATGCCAGATTCCACAGATGTGGACGAATAAATATTTATTATGCAATAGTCCTTGTAATTGTTCCCCAGTTCCCAAAGCAATTTAAAGTTGGAAT